GGGGAAATCCCCCTAACACGACTCAGACGGCCCATGCAGGCTATCTGAAGGGTCCTCACAGCCATGTAGCGCAGACCCCCCCACCAAAATCAAGGCAGGCAGTGAATATGAGGCAGAGCTCGAGCTGGCCGAATATACTTCAGGTCTGTGTTTCAGCAGTTATGGGTTGCTCACGTAGCTAGGGCCTGCTGGTCTCTGCACGTGACTCTTAGGGCCTGGCTGCACTACTCACCTAATGTGCAAAACTAGAACGAATCTTCCGCAGAACATGGAATAATACACCACCATATGTTTTGTCTTTTTTCTTGCTTTCTTTTTTCTCGTTTTTCTTTTTTCTCATTTTTCATTTTTCTCGTTTTTTTTTTTTTCTGGTTTTTCTTTTCTTAGGAATACGTGCAGTGGCCCTAAGGGCCTCTACTCACCACATGCACAAAAGACAAAACATATGGCGGCGTATTATTCCATGTAGTGCAGAAGATTCATTCTAGTTTTGCACATTTGGTGAGTAGTGCAGCCAGGCCCTAAGAGTCACGTGCAGAGACCAGTAGGCCCTAAGTGAGCAACCCATAACTGCTGAAGCACAGACCTGAAGTCAAATCTTGAGTATATATTTGGGCAGCTCGAGCTGTACTTCATATTCACTGCCTGCCTTCCTTTTGGTGGGGGGGTCTGCGCTACATGGCTGCGAGGACCCTTCAGACAGCCTGCATGGGCCGTCTGAGTCGTGCTAGGGGGATTCCCCTGCCCGCCCCCCCCCCCCCCAAAAAAAAAGGACCTTTTACATATGGTGGGGGGTGACGTGGTCGGGGGGGTAGGCCTTGTTTTTTTTTTTTTTTTTGCACTTTTGGGGTTCTTTGAACGAGGCCCACCACCTCGTAGTCTGTAACACGCGCGCGCGCCCCTTGAGGTCGCGTTCAAGTTTTTCGCGCCACGTGGCGCGCAGCGCGTTTGAACGCGTTTGAACGCGACCGGGGGGGGTATGAACGCGCGCGTTTGAACGTGAACGCGCGTTCAGCGCGTTCAGCCGGTTACACAGGAGAAGTTTGTGTGCCAACCCCTCTTCTTCTAAACATTCTGACATCTTGACCCAGACGTAACTTCCTACTTCGATAGTCCAAGGTGTGCGCTTCTTATTCGCATGATGGATCATGGCGTGTTGTCGTTTGGTCATTGCTGTAATGGCAACCTTGAGCAAGCGATCATACTTAGCGCTAAAGCCAGGCCTGTCAGGCATTAGACAAGCCGGTTGTTCGAGGAATAAGTAGGAGAAGCGCATTACGAATCTTCCAAACGTAATGCAGCTTATGTGGCGTCATGCCGGTGGAAGAATGGATGAAGTTGTTGTACAACCCCTTGACCGAATAAAGTTTGTCATCCCACGTTTCTTGATCTGGAATGATTAACGCACGAAGAAGTTGAAACACGGTCTGATTAATTTCCTCAGCTAAACCGTTGGGTTCAGGATGTCGACCAGATGTTATCCTTAGTTTGAGGCCAGGGAGTTCGTAAAGTCCTTCCATTCAGTACTTATGAAGCACGGCTCCCGATCACTCACAAGAGTTTTCGGGGTCCCGAACTGCAGAATGTGCTTCTGGTGGAACTCACAGATCACAAGTTCAGTTAGGGCATGCGGTGGCAATGGAATCAGATTTAGAAATTTGGAAAAGCGATCAACAATCACCATCACTTGCGAATAACCATTCTTTCTTGTCTTTCCTATGTTTGTGAAGTCAATAGAGACAGAGTCGTCGGGACTGTTGGGAATGGGAAGAGGTTTGAGCAGCCCCATGGGTTTTTACCTCGATGGTCTGATTCGTTGATAGACTTGACGCTGAGCCACAAACTTTTCAACAGATCCTTTCATACCAGGCCAGTCAAATTGTTCTAACAGGTTTGTGTAGGTTTTTGCCATGCTGAAGTTTCCACTCCGACCGTGAGCCAAACCCGAGAAGTGTGTGCGGAGAGGCTCATGGTTGGGTGCATACAAACGGTTATTATTTCCATAGCGTCGAAAAATCAGTCCTTCGCATTCGTGAAAATCATCCACGATCTGAGTTCTTCTGAACTGAGATCGCCGGACAACGGCTTTTCTCAAACTCTGAAAACTCAGACTGAGTTCTCATATGCGCTAATGCAGCTGGAATGCGGTGAGGCCACCAATGGGCAAAGTGTCTTTTCTATTTCTGGTGAGACTGATGGTCTGAAGGTGGCAGAGGGTGCTGGAAAAGTTAGTCATCGACGGGGATTGAGGAGCTCTGCATCTGTGCCGATTCCTTTTGTTGCAGTGGGAGGCCTCCTCTTCGGTGGAATCACACCATTCCGGAGATGGGACATGCGAAAACAGTGAATTCTAAACCAGGTTCAGGTTCAGGTTCAGAGTTTCCAGACCTTAAGGGCTTGAGCCTTGAAGTGGCTCCATGTACCTGCCAAAGAGATCCCTAGCCGAATACGGGCTTGTCTCGCTTGTTGGGGTTGGCAATCTGGGACTGGGACATTCAGGCTCCGGCCGGGCCTCCTCGCAGCAGCAGGTGGGGTTCTTCTCCACGGCCCACAGGCATCTGGTAAATCGCAACTCGCGAAAGCCATTGTTGTGGAACTGGCAAACGATGAACGCTACCATGCTTACAGTGTGTTTGTCAAGTGTGACAGTCTTGTTGGTGGGCAGATTGAGCAGCTGAAGACGCGCATGGAAGGGGTATTTCAAGAAGCCCTTGAGCATGCACCGTCGGTGATCGTCTTCGATGACCTGGACGCGCTTCTTCCAAACGAGGAGAGGCAGGACGACGTGGTCGGCGATGTCGCAGAGCACACGGCATTGTCAGAGTTCGTTGGGGACCTCATGGATGCCTGCCAGGAAGGGGGATGGGGTGCGAGGCAGTCGATTACGTTTCTGGCGATCGCACAGTCTCCGTCGAGCGTCCATCACGTTCTTCGTGTCTCAGGGAGGCTTGATTTCGCTGTGCAATTGCTGGCGCCAGGTGCAGTGGAACGCGCTGCCATTATCCAGTCGTGCCTAAGATCCAAAGCCGTCAACTTTGCAAAAGATGTGGCTATGGTGGAGGTTGTGACGCATTGCGATGGGTACGATGCGCATGACATAGATGTCCTGGTGGAGCAAGCGATTCACGTAGCCTCCCGTCGTTATTTAGCCTCGTCCACTTTGCATGGCCAAGGGATTGGTAGTGCTCATGATGGAGATGACAGGGAATGTAACAGGGATATTACCACCACCACCTTCACCCCACCAGCACTGCATTGCTCTCATGGGAGGAGACATCAGAGAAGACTACTAGAAAGGAGCCACGCCACCCGTTGGGTGCTGGAGAAGGCCTGTCGCAAGTCTCCGACTCTCTTATGCAGACGCAGACGCAGACGCAGACACATTTTGGTGCCATGAGGGCAGCAGGGTTGCAGATTGTCGACGGGGAAGTCGAAGATCGCTGCCGCAGGAGGTCTCTGTCGTTGTCGCAGCAATGGCGACGATGGTCGTTCACCGTAACAGAAGACGATTTTGCCAAAGCACAACGCGGCTTTGTGCCCGCAGCAATGCGAGGAGTCGTCGCGATTAGTAATGCTGGTGATGGGCCTTCACAAAAAGGTTGGGAGGATATTGGAGGGCTGGACGATGTGCGGCGAACACTCCAGGAGATACGCAAACTTCCCGTAAAGTATGGAAAGTTGTTCTTGAAAGCTCCTCTGCGTCTTCGGCCGGGAATCCTTCTCTGTGGCCCTCCCAACTGCGGTAAAACGCATGTCATCGGTGCCGCTGCAGCGGCTTGTCACCTGCGGTTCATCGGCGTCAAAGGCCCGGAGCTGCTGAACAAGTATATAGGAGCAAGCGAGCAAGCGGTGCGCGATGTGTTTGCAAAGGCGTCAGCTGCGGCACCGAGCATCCTGTTCTTTGATGAATTTGATGCGATTGCTCCTAAGCGAGGCCATGACAACACCGGCGTGACTGACCGTGTCGTCAATCAGCTGTTGACGGAGCTCGACGGGGTAGAGGGATTATCTGGTGTGTTCGTCATCGCGGCAACGAGCCGTCCGGATCTCATAGACGCAGCTCTGCTTCGTCCCAGACGACTGGATCGCCTTCTGCTATGCGATTTCCCCTCGGAATTCGAGCGCAAGGAGATACTGAACGTGCTGGCACGTCAGCTTCCACTTGCAGCTGACGTGGATCTTAGTGACATTGCAGCTTCCACTTGCAGCTGACGTGGCTTTAGCGGTGCCGATCTTCAAGCTGTGCTGAGCAACGCGCAGCTGGCGGCCATTCACAGCCACCTGGATCGCGAAACTGTCAGTCAAAGTCAACCTAAAGATGCTGCCTCTCCTAATGCATTGCCCGGTGCTGCGCCTGTGGTAACTATGGAGCACCTGCAGAAAGCTGTCAGCGTGGCCCGACCCTCCATATCGCAAATGGAAAAGACGCGACTCAATGACATCTACGAGAGCTTCATTGGTTCGCGGAAAGCGGGACCGTCGAAGGAAATGAAGGGAAAAAGAGCAACTCTAGCATGACATCCATCATC